TTATTTAGTTTAGTGTTTGAGTGAGTAGCCCCTGATACATCAAAGAGTAGTTTTATATATTTAAGTGTTGTAATATGCGTTATCCACACATTGCCTCTGTATGTAATAAACAGGTCAACTCTTTCACGTGTTTTAGTCGTATATAAAATCTATTCAAGCATTAAGGAGGAGTAGCATTTTGAAGCAAAATTATTGACTAATTTTCCCATTTAGAGCCCCGCAAGCAGGTCCCTATGGGTCGAGTCAACTTTTGAATTAAAGAAATGTAACCTGCTTGCAGTAATTTTTTCAGACCTAATTTGGTTAAAATCTTCCCAGGCATTAAGAAGAAGTTTTATGAAGCAAGATATTGTCTACCTTCCCCATTTGGGGCCCAACCCTAAGTCCCTAGGGGTCAAATCATCTCTGAAGTGAAGAATTAATTAACCAACCCCTACTGATGTTACAGATGAAATGAATGAATTCCATTCAAGCATTCAGGAAGAGTGAAACTTTGAAGGAAAATATTGTCTCGCTTTCCATTTGGGGTTCGATCCCCATATCCCTGGAGGTAAAATGAACTTTTTGAATTAAGAAATATTCCCCAAACCCCCCAATGATGTTTCAGACCAAATTTGGTTGAAATCCTCCAAGACCGTTTGGATGAGAAGACCTAGAAATAATGAATAAAAAAAACATTTTTATTTCTTTTATTGAAAATTCGTCATTTTTTTCTTAAACAAATATTACAAAATGTATATACATGATCAAAAGGTATGAGAATGTCAAAATTTTTCATTACCAGCATGTTGCTAAGAACATAACAGAATGTAGTTTAATTAGTGCAAAGATTTACAGATGCAATAATTACAATATTGACCAAAATTTATGGCAGCATCCAATTGAGTGTCTGATCCAGTGAAAGTTTGCCATCAAGTGTCTAATCAAGAATCACCCCCACCCCACCTCACTCCACCCCCAAAACACCCACAAGCACATACACACCCTTTCACTCATTCATACATACACACTTTACATTTTGGACTAAAAATAAAGGTAATATGTGAGACTTGTAGAAACTTAATTGCTAAAGTGCATGCTTTGAACAAAATATAAATATGTTTTAACATCATTTCTTGGAAAATGGTCACAACCCATCACTATAGGGTAAAATATCACCAGTGCTTTGTTCATATGCAGTATGACATTTGGCCTTCAAAGGCATTATTATCTTATACTGCCATCATATACAGTAAACCCTTCCAAGGCATTATTATAATGCCATCAAGTACATTAAACACTTCCAAGGCCTTCTTATGTTATACTGCCATCATGTACAGTAAACCTTCCAAGGCCTTATGTTATACTGCCATCATGTACAGTGAACCCTTCCAAGGCCTTATATTATACTGCCATCATGTACAGTGAACCCTTCCAAGGCCTTATGTTATACTGCCATTCTGTACAAAAAGCCCATCCAAGCCATTATGTCTTACTGCTGTCATGTACAGTGAACCCTTCCAAGGCCTGATGTTATACCGCCATCATGTACAGTTAAACCTTCCAAGGGCTTATATACTGCCATAATGTACAGTGAACCCTTCCAAGGCCTTGTGTTATACTGCCATCATGTACAGTTAACCCTTCCAAGGCCTTATGTTATACTGCCATAATGTACAGTGAACCCGTCCAAGGCCTTGTGTTATACTGCCATCATGTACAGTTAACCCTTCCAAGGCCTTGTGTTATACTGCCATCATGTACAGTGACCCCTTCCAAGGCCTGATGTTATACCGCCATCATGTACAGTTAAACCTTCCAAGGGCTTATATACTGCCATAATGTACAGTGAACCCTTCCAAGGCCTTGTGTTATACTGCCATCATGTACAGTTAACCCTTCCAAGGCCTTGTGTTATACTGCCATCATGTACAGTGACCCCTTCCAAGGCCTGATGTTATACCGCCATCATGTACAGTTAAACCTTCCAAGGGCTTATATACTGCCATAATGTACAGTGAACCCTTCCAAGGCCTTGTGTTATACTGCCATCATGTACAGTTAACCCTTCCAAGGCCTTGTGTTATACTGCCATCATGTACAGTGAACCCTTCCAAGGCCTTATGTTATACTGCCATCATGTACAGTTAACCCCTTCCAAGGGCTCTGTTCCTCCAGCCCCTTAGGGGCTGTGGTCTCACATTTATACAACATTCCTTCCCTTCACCCAAGAATGCTTCATTCATTCTATTTTCCCTATTGAGGCCTGTCCCTCCTGCCCAAAGGGGGCTAAGACCAACTGTTCCTACAAAATGTATTCCCCCTTCACCTAAAAATGCTTCTGATCAAATTAGGGGAAATCCAATCATTCTTAAGGAGCAGGATTTTAAAAAATTTCCATTATTTCCCTTTTTTTGCCTGACCCCCCTCTAGGAGACCATTGTACAAAACTGATTTCTCATCACCCGAAGATGCTTCAGACCAAATTTGGGCAAAATCAAATTATTATTAGAAGAGTTTGATTTTTTAAAAAAGTTCCCATTTTGGGCTGTATTCCTAAGGCCCTGAGGGGCCAGAACTCATAATTTATACAAAATATGTTCCATTTTCTCCAAGGATGCTTACCAAATTTGGTCAAAATCCCATAAGTCTTTTATATTCATCATGATTTCGCGTAACTCGTTTTCAGGATGTACACCTATTTGTGCTGGTGCTGTGTACGTCGTTTCAAAGTGGATTCTTAAAAAAAAGTAACATCTCGTTCTCCTTCCGCAAAACACAAAAAAAAAAAAAAAAAAAAAATAATTTTCATTATGTCAAACAAAATTGATATATATTAATTGTAGGAACCCTCCAATTGCTGAACATAATCCTTTGTAATTTGCACATAAATTTGGACAATACCCACAATTAGACAAAAGACTGAAAAATTGCTTCTACACTTTGATATTTACATAGCACAACACAATAGCTGCAAGTTACAACTACATGGAATGATAAAAGAAAACTACAGTGAATCACAAATCCCTGAAATAAGAAATTATATACATAACCAACATTTGAAATTTTATATATGGTAACAGATATATTTTCTTACTATGTTACAAAAGACAAGTGAATAATGCCTGTCAGTGCAGATCTATTAATAGATACATACTGAATAAAATATTGGATACATTGAAAGCTGTTTTGTCCTTCTAGGATGTTAAGGCCAAACAAAAATAAAACAATGTTCAAATTCCAAATGAAGGCAACTTAGAAATCAAAGCAAATATCAAAATATAGAAAGAGTGCCGAAATTCAAAATATTTTAGATTTTGGATGCAGTATGATACTGTAGATAGGTGTTCCATAAAGTCATTATCTGATCTACTTATGGTCTTTGTCATTAGTGTCTAATAAATATATCCTGACAGTTTAAATCTCATTTGGTGTCCGATATTTCATATATCACGTAATTTCTTTTTTCTTCAATAAATATGCATGAACAGCCAGACCAATATAAACTTGAGCAAATTGGCTTAGCATATAGTACAGTCTTGTGCTTCATAAGGATAGATTTTTCCAACACAAGTGTCTTAATTTTTTTTTATTCTTCTCTTAGTACAAACAGAAAGGTCAGACAAGTGTCCAATATCACAGATCTCAAACTGTAGATGCAAAATTAGGAACTTCAGTATTATTCAAAGACTGGTTCTAGGCAGCCACTCAGTATAAAGATATGTAAAAATTTAATTCTCAAATCAGTATAATCTGTAATAATGATCCTCAGAGTCAAAATGCAAAAAAAATGGAATTGAAAATCTATCTTTTGCACTAGCAAACTAGTCATTTTCGTGATTAGTTTCAACCTTCAGAAATTTTGTCAGCCCTACGTACTTCCTGTCTATGGTAGATGTGTGTTTAGTTAATGAAACATGCTTAATTCAAGATTATGAAATATTTTTATATCTCAAATATAGTTTCTGATTATTCTATATAGACATCTTATAATAATTCTTACATATTAGAAACATGTGACACAGTTATAAGTGAATCTTGACTGAGTGAACCTCTGAGGTGACAGACTATCCTGTAACACTACCAAGAGATCTGAGAAAGTTTTTGATTTCTTCAACCTTTAAACATCAGTGGTTTTAAGATATTTAATGGCAGTTTTATCTCTTTCTATTTCCATTGTAACGGCATTTATTCACATTAGAATAACATTGATACTTGAAATTCCTCCACTGCTAACTATTAATTGCACCGACCAGAAATTACTCTGGCTAACAAAATTGTAAAGTCACATGACTGGAATGACTGAAATTAAAGAAAACTTCTGTTTTTGACCTAACTCAAAAGGCAGCAATCATTTCCATTCAACATTTTGTTTTTGACAACATGTGTTTTAGTGCATCAGGGATTTCTTTTTTTTTAATTTTTGAAGAGACAGACTTGTCCATTCTGAACATGTATATCTGCCACTAAACAAGTTTAAGTAGCTGTGCTGTGATCAGAAACACTTTTCAGTATGATGCATATGTTTATACTTCCTTATAACATCAGCGTTCCAGGATTTCTATTTAAAACATTTATCCCATTTTATGAGAGCATTTTCATTTCCTCAGAGTTTGTTTGAAACCTGGCTTTACTGGTTACACTGAATCAAATCAATATATTGGAAAGGCCTGTTTAAAGGAAGTAGGAAGTATTCTTAAAGATAAAATGATATCAGATGCCACTAAAGCCAGGTGTCACTTAAACCAGGTGTCAGAATTTAACATAAAATGATATCAGATGCCACTAAAGCCAGGTGTCAAACAACATAAAATGATAGGTGTCACTTAAACCAGGTGTCAGAATTTAACATAAAATGATATCAGATGCCACTAAAGCCAGGTGTCACTTAAACCAGGTCTCAGATATAACATAAAATGATAGGTGTCACTTAAACCAGGTGTCAGAATTTAACATAAAATGATATCATAAAATGTCATATAACATAAAATGATGATGCCACTAAAGCCAGATGCCATAAAATGATATCAGATGCCACTAAAGCCAGGTGTCACTTAAACCAGGTGTCGGATATAACATAAAATGATATCAGATGCCACTAAAGCCAGATGCCACTAAAGCCAGGTGTCAGATATAACATAAAATGATATCAGATGTCACTGAAGCCAGATGTCACTTAAACCAGGTGTCAGATATAACATAAAATGATAGGTGTCACTTAAACCAGGTGTCAGAATTTAACATAAAATGATATCAGATGCCACTAAAGCCAGGTGTCAGATATAACATAAAATGGTATCAGATGCCACTAAAGCCAGGTGTCACTTAAACCAGGTGTCAGAATTTAACATAAAATGATATCAGATGCCACTAAAGCCAGGTGTCAGAATATACAAGATAACAATAGGATATGTATAGAATATGATATATAAGCCATAATATATACGGCTTTAACAAAGCTTTCATTGTCATATAAAATGGGTGTACATGTATACTGTAAACTATAATGGTCAAATAGTCTATACTACCTTTGGCTCACTAACAACTCAGAATATCAAATCTTACAAAATCTATACTGATTGTGAAAGTAACATAATTTTTACCCAGATTTTGTATCAAAGTAAAAAGGATTTGCTATATGTTTAATATACAGTGTATCTATAAATAACTAAATCATTCTAAATCTACAAATGTCAGAAAAATCTTCTTCGTTACAACTTACTACCTCTGACTCAAAATTCATGATTATTACAGGAAAAAAAATCACCTGCTGGTAAACATCATTCTACTGAGCTAGATAGGGTACACTTACTACCAGAAAAATAACACATCGTTATCCGCATTGTATATTACATTTGGAGATCAGGTAAACTGAAAATCCATAAAATACCGTATATTGGGATATTTTTGAGCTGTGCAATTTCCGGCGAAAAAGTACCTTTTGTGTTTATTGCTTATTCAAAAGGCCTCTTTAGAAAACTTTGAATAGTTCAGAAAGGACATGGCTCAAACATATATATATCAGATCTGACTGAGCAGTCATACTAGATAAGAGATTTACATACTAACTAGTGTTAATTTATTATGGAAGTACAACTAAAAAGTGTTAAAGTGCATGTAGATACATCAATTCTATAGAGGTATTACTAGTGCTTGAACAACAAAAAAAACATTCACATTTTGTATTTTTTAATTTTTTTGTAATTTGAAATTTGAATGAGATAAGTACAAAAAATTCCCAATATACAGTAACCTATTATTGTATTTATCCAGCATTAAACGCAGGGGAACCAATCAATAAATCACGTCTCAATGTCAGGACGTGAGCTTACTGCAAACAAACTGAATTTGGTGCTATAAAATTTTGGCATATTACCACTTTTTGGGGTATTCGCTTATCCATAATGCATATGCATAAACAGCATATGGAAACTGCAATTAGTCAGTCATATTTTAGCGCAATGTTTAAACCATCAAAATAAGATAACAACTGAAAAATTCATCCTTATAGCACTAGCTGACAATAACATGTGTTTGTAGTAAACAACAATAGATATGTTTTGGGTTGGAGAAGAAGAGAAACAACGCCCACCTTACATCTTTGTATGACACAAGAAACCATTCACATATCAATAATCACAATTAACTGGAAACATTAGACGATACTGAAGATGGAACTTAATTTTGTGGAAACAGCTAAACGACTGACATTTTAAATTTCCATTTCAACTTTTCAGCAGGATGAAGTTTTGAATTTAGCACCATCAAGTTTCAGAACATTTCCCGTTTTTAAATTCCCAACAATAATATTTCTCAGTACCCATTGAGAAATATTCATAGTCATGACCCTTGAAAGTTAACATTCTTATCTCATTTATCATCCACTAAGGCAGAACATTATCAATAAGAATAGATCTTTTATTACTTATATAGAATTCTTTTTGCCCCATTTTGGGGTTTTTTTTTTCCCTAATGTCCAAAACAAACGTCCAGCTTTGAATCTTTCGTAGACGTCCACTCAACATGATGCTGATACAATCAGTTAGTTACAAACTGATTGGTAGATGATCTACAGTTGTCTGGTGGGCTGAAGTATCACAGTCCATACTTTTTACTTCACACCAATTAATGTATTGTCCAAAACCATTTCCAGGAACTGCAATTTAAAATACAAATGAAAACTAATCAGCCAAACATTAAAGAAAATAGCTTTCCAAGAAGATTAAAATTACCTGATGGAAAGATAAACAAGATTAGATAGGAGACATAAAAGAGAGAAAGAAGGAATCAGTAGATAAAGGGTAAACAATGCCAGAAGGACATCTAAGTCGGTAAATCATCGGTAAGATAATTAATGGAAAGATATGCTCTGTTTACTGGGTTTATCACCTCGTGAACAGGAAACTAGTGAGACAAAGAAAAGACAAGTAGGAATGATAGGGAAAAGGAGACATAGACATCTTTAAAAAGGATAAAAAATGAAACACAAACAGACTTTGTTAAGTGGCTATTAAGTAAATTACTATCAGGAAGGATTTATGAGAAATGAAAAAGTTACACAAAACATGTTTAAACAATGTAAGAAATAAGAAAAATATGAAGATATAAGAGATGAATATTTTGCAAAGATGGGCAGAAAAGACAAGAGAGATACAGGATGTACAAGGTATCTAATGAAACAAGTGATTGCTCTCCAATGCAATTACAGCAGGAGTTGGAGGATACTTTTATCAAGTAAAATAGAATGACAAGATACATAGCTTAACCCTTTCGGCGCCAAATATCTCTCACAATGTACAGCTCAGCACCAAATATTAAATATAATAAAGATATAAAAATTGTCGACCAAAGTCGCGTATGGCGGCCTGTCTGCATGTCGACTTTTGTTGCCTACAGCGGCCTGTCTGCATGTCGACTTTTGTCGCCTACAGCGGCCTGTCTGCATGTCGACTATGGCGCCGAAAGGGTTAAAGTTGATCATTGAATGAACTGGCTTTTTTCTATAGCTTTCATGAAATAAATTACTTTTCTCTTTCTGAAGGTTTTACAAGGGGAAAATGGAGTTTCATAATGTTTGTCTAATATGGCAGTGACACATATCTGGAATTCAAAAAATTCAAAATTGTTTTGTAAAGTTTTGAAGTAAACCAGATAAAATATTTATGCTAAGTTTTAATCAAGAGCACTATTGCAGGATAGCTATATAAGACCATTACATAGCATATAAAGGAGCCAATGCAATTTTAAAGTGGAGGCAACCACCTGCTTATCAGGTAATGAAACCAGCAGAAAATCATATCCTGCATCACTAGCTTTTCAACTCCACAAATGTTTTCCTTCATTTTTATTGAATTTTCTTGATAGCATTTCTCCCATTCACTAGAGGTTGATGACTCACCTCCTCATAACTGATATTTATCATCCCTCGTTGCTGGGTATCTTTCACTCGAAATTTATCCGTCAGTGTTTTAAGCATTACACAGGCTTGAATAAAATCATCAAAATTTATTGTCCGAGCACCTCGTTTGTCAAATGTCCGGATCACAATGTTGCAAAATTGAGGAGATCTGAAATATATTAAATAAATCAAGAACAATCAATCACTCACCAGGCTGTTCCTTGGCTGAAATTGCTTCTTCCCTCTGTCCCAAGGAGGTCAGGATAACCCTTCCTAGTCTAGACCAAATCACTCCAACAGAAGGATTTGAAAGAGTTTGTTTTATTTCCAATATTTGGTTCCACATCAGGGATTCGATACTCACTAATTATACAATATTAATTTCCCTTCCACCAAGAATGCTTCAGACCAAATTTGGATGAAATCCAATCATTCCTACAGGGAAAATAGGATTTTAAAGAATTTGTTCTATTTCTTCTATTGGGACTTGCTCCTACAGCTCCTGGGGGGCCAAGTAGGATTTTTAAGAATTTGCACTTATTCCCCTATTGGGCCCACCCTTCCTGCCTCAAAAGGCTCTGAGACCCACCGTTTATACAAAACTGATTTCCCTTTGCCCAAGTTTAAAGAACTATATACTGGAGAAATCCTATATTTTCTTTACCTCATAACAATATTACAATACAAACTACCGTATATCAACTTATTTAATTCTCTCATCAACCCATATGGAAACACACAAGATGTCATAGAAATCCCATGATCCTAGCAAACACCGCTTTAGTCTAGCAGGTAACCTAAATTTTTATCACGTCCAATCAGGGAAGTCAAGGTGAAATGTGAGTGTGTTACCACTTTGGTACCACTGTGCTACCAACCCAGCCTAAATTTTGAAAATATTCTGCAACAACACATACAATCACAAGGTGAATACATATACAGTACATGTACAGGGAGTACCTCAACTTCATTTTACACAAAGTATTTAACTTAATTTATTCATGTGGAGAAAAAAGTAGATAATAATTACTGACATTAAAATAACCAATATTTTTTCCTAAAAATTCCTAAAATAACATCACTCCAAAATAAAGTGGTTCAAAACATACTGAACGAATTAGTAATATTTCTGAATTCACTTATTTCATTTTCAACGTTTCACTTTCAGTATTGTCAAATCTTCCTACGTTAGTCGAGATTTGAGTGATAATAATTGTGTAAACAAGTATTGATAACTGGGATACTTACAATCGATATCCAAATGTCTCAAACGCAGTGCTTAGTTCTCTTTCATCAATGTTTCCTGATCTATCAGTATCAAACCTGGTAATACACAATTAACTCTGTAACCAACGGGATATACACAAAACAGACAAATAACATCACATCATATTTCATGTAAATTATAATATCAAATTAACATACCGTACATATTTACAACACTACTACAAACAAGGAACATAACTCATGCTTATTTATCAGACAAAGTTGATGCCACTACCTGTCAAAACAGCCTTTCCAGTCCTGGACATACTTCCAAAGAGCTGCAAACTCTTGAGCATCTATCGTCCCACTCCTGTAACAAAGACTTAGCTGTAGAGGTCAAAGTCACTTGGAAGTACTTTCTGTTCAATCTATATAAGATTTTTTCTCTTGTATTCAGTTTTTTTATTACTGTTTAAATAACAGAACATGCACTGTAGTTATACTGCTCTTAGTCAATGATTCAAGTCAGAATTCGTTGGTATTCCTACTATGTGTGGGCTTATTAACAGGCATGGGCTTATTGTCAAATAAATACAATATAAAGAGAACACTTTGAATCCATTCATACACAATAATTTTCATAATATCTATAAAATAGTAAACTTTTTTCCTTGATTTGTGTAATATTGTTGAATTATTGAATAAACCATTGTTTAAACTAAGTCTTTATTATCTCATATATTGATGAAAGAACACTTTATTTTGTATGCATCATGTTAAATTATTTTCTTAATTTGATAGTCCTCCAAACACGTGTCATCAATGATTCAATACATGTATACAAGATGCCCAAAGGGCCTGCATTGCTCATCTGGTATTCAATGGTCATCAGAAATACAATCGGTGTTAATAACACAAAATATACTGACTTATATACCTTTGGCATTCAAAGTGTGATCTTGAATAGAAGTCAACGTAATTTCTTTTCGCAAACTTTGTCTGCCTTAACCCCAGCAACCTACCAGCCAAATACAATGATATTTGGTCTACTGGTTATTGAGAAGAAGTTTCTCAAACGGAAAAGTTACGACAATAGACGACGGACACCATGCCACGGCATACACTAACTTGGTCCTTAAGACCCGGTTAGCAGTCTCTACACCACCAGAAATATAAACATGCAAATCTTATCAAAATCTGTCTTTATCTAAATTGTTACCAATTTAATAACAAATTCAAAATAAAGTGCACAAAAGAATTAATTCAGAAAAAGATATTTTGATTTTACAGCTGATTCCTTTCAGTTTTCATGACGAAGTGTTATAGTTTTAGCAAAGGCATATGAACACACACTGTAAGATCCTAAATTTTCATAGACTCAGATTTTGCATTTTTCCAAAATTATACGTTTTCATTGGCACTTGATTTCGTGGACAGATCTTACTGAAGAATCCACTAGTAGTATAATCCTTTTATCTGTTCACTATTTTGTGGACCGAAATTTGCAGATTAAGCGTGTCCATGAATTCAACAAAAATAAATCGCTCACATGAATGAATGATTTCACAGTAGATTACTCCTCAGTAAAATTCTGAAACATGATCTAACCTGGGATTTCAAGAATGAAATAACTTACTTGTCTTTGTCAAACATTCCAATCATGATTCTACAGGTTTCTGGGTTAAACGGTGAAGAGTTACCATTCATCAAAGCTTGTCTCAACTCTACAGCTGTGATCTTCCCACTCCGGTCCTGGTCCACCGCCTGTAATTGTTTATTTATTTATTTTCTATTTACAGACTGATTTAATGCTCCATATTAATTTTTATGACCTTGAATCAAAAGATCAGGGGTATATTGTTTTTGTGTTGTCTGTCTGTTGTCAACTTTAACCTTGCCGTAACTATTGCATCGTAAGAGGTTGGGCTTTCATATTTGACATACGTGTTCCTTGTGACAAGACCTTTGCCATGGTTTCAAATTTCATTACCTTGACCAGGACCTTTGACCTACATTTTCAATATTGGCTATAACTACGACATCATTAGAGGTAGGGCCATCATATCTGGCATGCATATTCCTTGTCACAAGACCTTTCTGGTGGTACCAAAATTATTGACCATGATCATGACCTATGACCTACATTTGAAATAAAGAAAAAATATTCACCACAATGAAGACATAAGTGTTTCACAAAGTGTGCACACAATTAGCACATGCCTTGCACAATACAGTTTTAATGTCCCACATTAGAATGCTGTTGCAACTGGAGGCATGGTGTTTCATAAACAAATCTTGTTTTAACATTCTTTTCTGTTTTTGAAACACATTTCCTGCTAGAAATCAATGCTTTCCTTGAAGTGCTAAAATGGGGAAACATGTTTAAGTATATATTTTTCTCTGACAAGACTAAATTTGTCACGGTTTAAACACAACATATATATCATGTATATGAAACTTTAATACAGAATACTACACATATCAAATTATCTTAAGGTATACAAATTTAAATTAGAATTTAGTGATTGACATGAAATAGAACAGAAATCATGGTTCAGACAAAATAGTATTGATCCATTTTGATGCCATGTCCCACCATATAAAGGTAAATAAAAATTCTATTGATTTTCATCATGCTGATGTAAAAATCACTCCTAGTAACAAGCATGTGATAGAAGAAAATGAAAGTTTACTTCAAATAATCAATGACAGTAAATTACATGCACAATAGATGCAAAGTACTTTTTTATTTAATTTACAGTTTTGTTTAGTTCGTAAATGTTTCCTTGAAATGTTTGTACAAATACAAAATGATGTATTTATAAATTGAGAGTACCCAGGTAAGAAGCAGAAGCACTCTTTATGACTACAACGCTTCAGAGAAACTCAAACCATCCAAGTCCACTAAAAAACCCTTTATTTTCTAGTAATCTTATTCTATCAATAGTTAAAATTTTATATAAATTTGATATAATTTTATTTGTATGTACCTGAAACCAGTGCCATAGTTCTGTACTAACTCCAGGTGGTGGGGGTGGAGCATATGCAGCTGGGGGTGGTGGTGCCCCTCCTCCATATCCTGCAGGTTGACCGTACATTGGGACCTGGCCTTGTTGGCCTGGTGGTCGCTGATACCCTCCAAACTGTTGCTGTCCATATTGTGGAGGGGGTGCCCCCTGTTGACCATAACCAGGGGGTTGCTGGTGTTGTTGGGGAGGAGCTGAGGCATAGCCTGGTGGAGCAGATCCCTGAGGTGGGGCTCCATACCCAGGAGCTGGGCCCCGTGGTGGGGCTCCATACTGTTGTTGTTGATGCTGTGGTTGACCATACCCACCCTATGAAAATTTGATGATTCAATAAATTACAATATTAAAATACAAACACAAACAACAGGTCCAAAGTACTTGTATCTCTCATCTAGATATTCAAGCCAATCAACAGAATACATGCATATAGGTTGGGTATTTCAAATATTTCGGTATTTCAAATATTTCCAATTACAGCTGTCACTTCACTTCTTTGATATGGCAAGACAATGGTAATTTCTTAAATCATGACAGATACCCACTAAGAGTTTATGATGTCATTGGGTTGGTATATCAACTATATCAAAAATATGACTAAGAAATTATGTACCTACAGGTGTGCCACACCCAACGACCAGTTTTTATATAAAAAATGTGTTTATCTCTTGATGCTAAGCAATTCTATAGATGGTTATGGAGTGGGGATTTCAACTGTTTCAAAGATATAACCCATTTCCTATATTGAGCCCTTCCGTTCCTGCCCTAGGGGGCAAAGACCCATCATTTATACAAAATTGATTCCCATTCACCACAAAGTACTGCAGACTAAATTTGGGCAAAATCCAATCATTTAACGTCATTCATAACCTAGACTGATATTTCTCTTAAATATTTCAACTCATAAGCTGAAATACCACTTCAAGCCTCCATTGTTTAATGGTATCACAATAATAATTTTCTAATGATTGATAAATACTACTGAAGGTTTGATACTATTATATAATTAAGGTAAAATTTTGTTTGAAATCAGACCACATGCCAACCATACTAAAGTACTATTTAATTTGAACTACTGCACAGTTCAGTATACCATGCCACAGACTTGATTTTTTACTTATCAAAACACATATATAATCTAAATTCACAAAAATATACTCAAATACAAATAGAATGCACTCAAATATCATCAGTTTGTGCCTTGTGTAATGTTTAGATCTAATTACTTATACTACAATATTGGACTACCAGTAGGCTACCTACATGTATATGTGAAAACGTTTTCTCAATCAAGGGACCTAAGGGGAATAACTTTCTATTGTGCCATGTTGATTACTTATAACTATAATGTGAACATACTTAACATTGTCAATTTAATTCAGGATTATTTGCAACACTGATAGTCAAGTTTCTCATCATTTATTTTTGAGTACCTGGAGTGTGAAATCTGATAGATACTTTGTAAATGAGAGAGATTTTCAATATGTCCACTATGTGATCCAATAAAATTGTGACAACAGCCAGACAGATTTTGTTTTCTAAAGTTAGAGCAATATCAGGGAACAGGGTGCTCTATAAATGGCAACAATGAACTGAGACAAAGATTGACTTGTGTCATAATATTTTGTCTGAAATTAATTTCTTTCAGTGTGTTATCTAAGGCTAAAATTCAAAACATCAAGTCATGAGGTACACTAATGAGGAATTATTATTTCTGGGACCAAATTTTTACTTCAAATCATCAAAGTTTCACAAGTTTTCCAAATCTAAGTTAATATATCAAAGAATATTTACCCTCATCAAAAAATGCCTCAAATTAACAAGGATATTCAAGTTTTCTGAGTTCAAATGAACAAAGTTTAACTATTTATCCTGAAACTGGCACTGCCATTGTGGGAATACACTTGCCACATATATATTTGCTGTATTCAGCAGTGATGGAAAACAGCTGCATTTTAGCATGTGCAGTAATTTGATAGAATTACTCTCTGAATCTACTCAAATATCATGTTTAGAAATATAAATGGTTGTTGAAATAAGTGATTTTATATGTTGTAATGAACATATTGATCTATAAAAATTCATAAAATCACTAGTATATCCTATGAAGTTTGAATTCAGTGTAACATCAACATCAGGTAAACATAGATTGAACAACAAAACGCTTCAAGTTTAAAAAGTCTGATTTCAATCAGTGTTGCAGGATAAATAGAATACATGGCCAGTGACTTAAAATATAAGCTGCATTTTGGCTCGGGACAGAAAGACAAAAGTGACTCGCCACTTTTGTCTTTCTTAACCCTTGCAAAAATGCAGCTTACATTTTGCGACATTGGTTTGATACAGTTCAGAAATATTAAGATATTACACGCTCCTATTTAGTTGTACATTTGTATGTTGTTAATCAACAGTGGGCATAGTTTAAATCAATAAACACAATTTTACATGCTGTAGAGTCTAACACTGCAATAATAAGGTATATATAATGGTCAAATTAGGCACAAAATGATGATGTCTCAGTGAATTCTTGGTGTATTTGAGTACATTTTGGTATATTTGAGTGTGTCGGAGTAAAAAGTCCAGTCACTTGCTACAAAGGCCGTTTTAAGGCGCATTGTCAAAGTTTTGCCACACCCAAAGACTGTTTCATCAAGCTAATTGAAGTGACATGCAGTAATCTTACTATTACTCATCGTAAATATGAAATACGTCCTTACGTATTGACCAGGCTGTTGTCCCCAAGACATAATAACTGAAAATATTTCAAATGAATTTTTCACAATCGCATCAGAACGAAACCGGATGTTGACCACAAGAGATAACTCTGCTTGACTTCCCGTTTTCTACTCAATTTTGACAACACAGTGAAAAGCACAACAAATGTTGCGGTGAGAGTATTTTGTTGGTAAGTTCGTGTTTGATTTTGATCATGGTCATTAAATATGTTAATTCCACCTGTACAACATACAAAAAAAGCTTGTCATGTACTAATTCACGGTGTGTTCACATGTTTATGATCACCTGTACAATGTTTCTCTGCTTCTTGTTTTATTAGCTCACCTGACCCGAAGGCGAGCTTTTGGCATACCTCGTCGTCCGCCCGTCCGTCAATTTTCCCCACAAAATCGCTACTTTTCATAAACGACCTACAGGACATTGAAAACAAATTGTTAAAAAGCATCCCTGGGAGAGGAATAAATTTCGTATAAAGAGTGGGTCGCGGCCCCAAGGGGTTTACCCAGGGGCTTGAGGGTCTGGATCCCTATGAAATTTTAAAAGCCTACTCCTCCTGTAGGAATGATTTTCTCAATATTTGGTCTGAAGCAATAGTTGGTGAAGAGGAACAATTTGTGTATAAATGGTGGATCTTGGCTTTCTGGGGCAGGGTCTATTAAGGGAAATAGAACAAATTCTTTAAAAATTTGGTGTGAAGTATGATCTGTGAAGGGAAATCAATTTTGCCTTCAGGAGTACCGAGGGAGGGGCAGGCCTAATATGGGTAATGTGTTTTATCTTTGAAACATTGCAGATCCCCATCCAACAACCATATATAGTTTTGCTTGGCCTAAAAAAATAAACACAACCATAATGTAAAAATTGGCCCTGTCGTCTGGGCCACTCCTAGGAACTTAGTTTCTTGGTTATATGTTTGAAATAGTTGAGATCCCTATCGCATAGCCATATATAACAGCGATTGGCATCAAGAGATAAACACATTAATTATGTAAGATTTGGCCCTGGGTCTTAACCCACCCCATCTTTGTAACTGTTGAGATTCCCCACCCCATAATCATAGATAACAATGCTGGACACAAAAAGATAACACAATTAGGATGTAAGAATAGGCCCTCAATCTTGCCCTCCAGGGCTTCTAAATACCAATGCTGGGCATCAAGAGATAAACATACCTACGATGTAAGAATTGGATACTGGATGTGGACCAGGTCTTGCCCCACTTCCAGGGCTTCAGTTCCTACCTCTAAACCATAAATACCAATGCTGGGCATCAAGAGATAAACATACCTACAATGTAAGAATTGGATACTGGATGTGGACCACTCCTCTGAACTTAATTTCTGGGTTTTATCTTCGAAACAGTTGAAAGGCCCACCCCATAACCATATATTGCTTAGCATCAAAACTTAAACACATTCCTGATTTAAGAATTGACCCTTGGATGTGGCACCTAATTTTTGGTCATATTTTTTATATAGTTGAGATACCAACCTGATAAACATATAAACTCTTACTCTTAAAGAGAAAGACAGTAATGATATAAGAATTTACCCATTACCATAGAGGATAAGTGTTTGATCTGTAATTTGGAGATACTTGAAATACCCAACCTTTAGGTATGTATACCACTGCTGGCCTTTCAGATCAAGGTGAGTGATACAGGTCCTTTAGGCCCCTTGTTAACATGTATTGGGGGGAATAGGTGTGGTGCTCTAACATTCCTCTTACTTTTTATACAGCTATGTCTATTAAATATGAAATATTTTACAATTAAAGAAGCTGTGTCTCTTTATCTTTTCAGTACACAAAGCAACATTAAAAATGCCCATTACATTTTGCCAGAGACATATATAACACATGATTGATATACATCTCTGATTCTGCCCATTTTGGAGAATAATTACTTCAGATGTAAATGATCAATAGTTCAAACTAAAACAAACATTTTTACATGAAGAGGATACACTGTTTTGCTGATTATTGATACTGTATAAAGTAGACCTCTTTATTTTGTTTCTTTATAACAACAAAAATAAAACTCGCAGGAGTGATGAATATAGCAAAATTTATTATGGTAGGACAGAAGGAGTTATTTCCCTTGCATCATCACATCATCCAGTGACTATGAAAAGATTAAAAGTTATTGCACGGAAAGAATGTTTCCGTTGATATTTTTAGTAACAGGTCATGTGACCTTTGATCTATGAATCTAAGAAGCAAATGCCAGAAAGAACAAAAGTTATTGCACGGAAACGAAAAGTGACAGACAAATAACTGGACAGATTAGCATGTTGGATACAATATGACAAATGAAGAAGTAAAATAGACACTTCTGATTCCCCTTTTGTGAATATGTAGAAGGAAATTTTCATGCTTTTCCTTATCAAAATGCTAAAAATTAAAAGTTTGAAACAACTGAAAATAATACATTTTAATGATTAAAAAAAAAGAAACATTTTGGTAATTATTTTTGAGGGTTCAATTTTTCGATATTCAGATGTCTTAATCCATTGTCCATCTTTCCATAATTTTTGTTATCACTATTTCTTGAGAAGAACTAGATGGATCTTTCTCAAATTTCATATGTAGGTTCCCATTAGTCCCATTCTTGGCCCCCATTGGCTGTCAAGCTAGAGCAGCCTCTGGGTTATTTTGTAAAAATTTCTGGATTACATGTGCAGTGCTCCTTTTTGCACTAAACAATCAAACTTGTGACAAAGAAAATCTGCTAAACCTGATGTGGACAGAAACACTGACTGTTGCTTCCATCATACATCTAATTATAATAATTATAACTGATTATAATAAAGTAACCTTTTAAAATGCAGCATGACATATATTATCTAAAACAATTATTTCTTTAAAAGGAAACTTATACATTTTGTCCTTATTATACTTCTCAAGAAAAGGCACATTCAACCAATAATGCTTCTCAGTGTAGAAGGTATTTTGTTAGGTAGACTGTAGAAATTGGGACAGAAAAGTGGCCATCTTGGATTTCAACTATGAAAGTTTGTTATCGCTATTTCTTGAGTAGTACGAAATTGATCTTTCTCAAATTTGATATGTAGTTTCCTCTTGGTTTGTGATTGTGCTCATTTTTGTGTAAAACAGAGGAGAGAAGAGAAAAGAAGGAAAAAAAAACTTTTACGGAACAAATACAAGATCAAACAACTATAGGTGCCAAGATCCCTCTGGTTTCTCTTGTTTGAGGATGAAATAAAGTCATGACAATATGGATACCGCATGGTACTTTCAAAGTAAAACTTCTAGAGGAAGCCATTTGCTGTTTTATATATTGTAAAAAATTGCATTCATTTTGTATCGAACTTTATGTAAAAAAAAAATTAATAAAACCTTTACAGTACTGATTGCATATCCATTTCAGCTGGAATTAAATTCTATTTTGGTGCTGATAGTGCTACATTTTGTAATTAGAAAATTATGTATAGCTTTCAAATGATTCTATAGGTATGGTCTTTATGTCTGGTATAAGTACTTTTTATTATTATTACAAAAGGAAATAACATCAAACATACTAAAAGGTGAAAGACAAATGCTGAAAATGTTAAATGGTTATATTATCACAAAAGATTAAATGATAAGTCATATTGTATGACATAGACAAACATCTTTCAGATAAATGTTCCAAGTGTTACCATAGATAATTGTACCAGAGGTGAAACCTTTATTGTACTAACTCTGACTCAAAGCAGAGGGTGGGCTTATCACTGGACAATGAAATCATGCTTGTTGATAATTTAGCTGATCAGCAGTAGATTTGGGTGGGCTTATTACTGGACAATGATATCAAACTTGTCAATCATTTTGGAGAATGAAATAAATAAGGGTGGGCTTATTACAGGACAATGATATCAAACTTGTCAATCATTGTGTAGAACAAAATAGATTAGGGTGGGTTTATTACCAAGCTATGGTTTATAACCTGATAAATACGGTACTAAAATGGTGCAACATCTGATGTTTCAAAGACATTAGGTTTTATTGTTACATTACACATCAGTGATAAATACCAGTGTTAACACATTCTTCTAACAGTCTGTCCTTTTAGAAGTAGAAATTGTTTTCAATATTGTAATGTTTTAATACTGACATATTAAAAAAATAAAACTTCTTATTTGTGGAGTAACAGCATTGTACTCAATGCCATGAATTAATAGCCTTTGAACTTCAAAGGGTATGGTGATAATGACTTTTACAATTTACCTGGGAAACATTATTCAGTACAATGTACCTGTTCAGTTTGTCACAGTTGGGAAATATGGCAAATCCTTTAGATCTATAATTCAAGTGCTGACATGAGTTGTTTCACAATGTATTTTTCATCACAGCAAGTTCTGCTTATTCCTTTGAATATTTTTTTCATTTACAAAACTTCATGTTGCAATTAATTATCTTAATGCAAATACACCCATTAAGTCTTTTAGAAATACAATACCTATCAATAATGTATACACAATGTGAAGTTTAATGGCTGTAAGCTATTTTTATTAAATCCTGGTGTAATATCTATTTTCCTCATTTGCTTAACTTTATTTACATATAGAAATAGGCACTGTAATGCTGGAACACAGTGAAAGTTACTGCCAGGTTTTTAAAGGCAGTGTCTCCTTGTAGTAGGAGCTAGTGTCAGCCTTACCGGACAGTATGCAGGAGATCCATTTTATGATATCCAGAGCCCAATGGCATTTTAGGTTCAAATAAACTGTAGTTAGGTTAGTGAAGTTAAATGTAATTTATAAATTGAACATGAGAGGAAAGGATCAATGAAAATTTAGGAGAAATTAAACTTCGGTCTAAAACTACAAGGTCAAGGTCATATTGAGGTAAAAGTTTAGGTTAATTGTTTGTGCCATAAATTCTGATGTGCGTCAATGACATTTGATAGATACTTGCAGGTTGGAAAGACAGAGTGTCTCTTGAGATGATAAATCAAATTTATTATTCTGTCCATACTGTGTGAAGTTAACCACACTGACCATAGATCATTGAAATTTCATAGAAATATGCAGTATGCTGCGCTTTTTAGTAGAAATGACATTCAGGAAGGTTACTGATACCTTGTAAGCAGAACTACTGGCTGCCTGTATATTTTTGCTGTAGTGATATTTTTTTTGCACCAGCACAACCAAAAGTTTTAGAATGGTGTGAAAATTTCTAGTTTTGAAACAAAATGCAAACACTACATCAGCAGTAATAGGTACAAAACTTTACTGAGGACACCATTAACCAAAATCTAAAAATTTTCCGTGAAATCCACACTGTGAAAAGAAAGATGCAATAATAACACAACACCAGTTTCTAAGGAGATATTCACCTGTTTACTGTTTATGGTGTGATGACAGTTAATATAGTACTTGTTAATGTAGTTTTGATGATGGAAGAACGGACAGAACCTGGCAGCTTGGCAGAAAGTTACAAACAAAATGGCTACATACTGAAGTCTGACATACTATCTAAAGATGAAACTGAAGTCTATCTGAAAGGTTTCCTTGACTACGAGAGCCGTTTGGGAGGAAAAGTTACAGGAGCCTATCGATTTAAAGCTCATCTACTGTTACCATGGTTATATGACCTTGTAACCCATCCCAAGGTCGTGAATCTTGTATGTCAGCTTCTTGGTAAGTATCGTGTAAAGCCCATTTGAGTAGCATGAGTGTAAGTTAACAGTGTCAAAGTTTTCTTTTAGATAGTATCTCGTAAAAACCAAGTTACCGCAGAATCATTATCTTAGGCAAGTGTAATGGTGAATTGAAGGGATATTCAAGTTTGTTCAAATAACTGACCTTGACCCACTTTCAAAGTCAAAATCTACATAAACTCATAAAGCAGGTTGTGAAAAGAAACTTATGATGTCACCCTTTGATATCAATTTGTTTCATTCAAAAATGAATGTTTATAGTGATTCTTGGTACATTTGATTTCCCATGTGAAACCTTCATTCTTTTATTTGTACAGATCTCCAGTATTGTTATCTATGGGGTAAATATGGGTCCAGCCATTATGGTTCTACAGAAGAAGTTATTGATTACGTCAATATCCCTTAAAACATAGCAAAACTTCTATATATGATTCTTTTAGGACCTGATGTTGTCTGCTGGTCAACAGATTTATTTCCAAAAGACCCTGGAACTGGCAAGTCCTGTGGATGGCACCAGGATTCAACTTACATAGGTAGAATCCAAACATAGTTTAAACAGTATCATATTCTAAAATCAAACAATTTATATATGCGTACATTACATTTGCGATCTGGGAGAACAAGCTTGAATCTTATATTGATTGCATTGAAAGTTAGTAAAGTTAACATGAAAAATATTCTCAATTTTTTTTAGAAACCAAAATAAGCAAACATTTAGAATACAGAGTTGGCTTGTATGTTTTACTATGATACTGGTATGTTGTAAGGTATGGAGCCCCCTGATGCCTTGACTGTTTGGGTAGCTCTTACCGATTCTAACAAAATGAATGGCTGTGTGGAATTCTCCTCAAAAAGTCATCTAAAGGTATATTTATCTGTACATTTTGTTATGTTTTCTCTTGTTCACGATGGACATTATTATAATTCCATAATTGCAGATTATAAGTGAACGTAAAGGAAAAAACTGAAAACTAAAAATAAAAGAGAATTTAAGAAAATATTGAAAGGCACCATGATGTGCCAAGTTTAATAGAGACCATTTTAGTACCCTATCAAAAACGCTTCACATAATATCACAGATTCATGGTCAAAAACCAGTCCCCCGTCTTTGTCTTGACCACGGATATAATAAATGGCAAAACCACATGTCTAGGAGCTATTTTGATGAAAGGCAGTAGATATGACACCTTATATTGATAAGAGATCTGTACACACAATACCTGTATAATTTTAGTAACGGGAATAGTTTGTACACACAATACCTATATGATTTTGGTGACAGGGACAGTTTATATATACAAGACCTGTATGATTTTGGTGACAGGGAAAGTTTGAACATACAATACCTGTATGATTTTGGTGACAGGGAAAGTTTGTACACACAATACCTGTATGATTTTGGTGACAGGGACAGTTTGTACACACAATACCTGTATGATTTTGGTGGCAGGAATAGTTTGTACACACAATACCTGTATGATTTTGGTGACAGGGAAAGTTTGAACATACAATACCTGTATGATTTTGGTGACAGGGAAAGTTTGAACATACAATACCTGTATGACTTTGGTGACAGGGAAAGTTTGTACACACAATTTTGGTGACAGGGAAAGTTTGTACACACAATACCTGTATGATTTTGGTGACAGGGACAGTTTGAACACACAAACACGATGTCAGACAAATCTATGCTGTTGTACGGCCAAGAGATTCCGGTAGAGGTGGACCGATCTACTGTAGTCCTTGCAGAGCTGAGTGCTGGTCAAGCATCTGTCCATCATGTAATGACTGTTCATTCCTCTGGACCAAACATGAGTAAGTATACCATCCCCTATCAAAAAATATAATTGATGGCAAATTTACAGTTAAGGCTATTTGATTTCAACCTTAATAGCATTATTAATTTCTATATAAAAGAGTTTCACATTGATGATACTGTGTTTGCTTAAAAATGTTACTGTTCATAACTTGTATTTTTGTTGCAAAGGTTTTGTTGAAATGGTTAAGGTGTAAGACATCAGAAATAAACATGGATGAATCTCCACAAAATCTGTTACCTTTCTGTCAGAGAAGTGGAGAACTTCCTTTTTGGTAATATTTTGTGGAAAAACTACTTCAAAAGATATATTTTCATACCGATTGCTTTATTGTCCTATCCTCTAGGCATATTACCTTTTCAAATCTTTGACCTTCAGGCAAAACACGACGGATAGGTGTAGCCCTACGGTACTGTGGTGCATATGTGAAGCAAAAGGCAGAAATTGGAGATTCTGTTACTCATGTGTGTGGGAAAGATCATGGAAATTTCACTCTTGAACCCCCACCTGCTCAGATATTTGGTGAGAATGAGGTCAACGCACACCAGAAAGCATGTGGCCCAATTGGACCCGAGGACTTGATCGCTGTCAAATGATATCACACAGAATTCAAAATCACAACTTCTAAAAGCAGATACTATTATTTCTCATAGTGATAAATGGTTCTCTTATGTTCAAGACAGATCTAGATGGTAATTTGTTTCTTATAACCAGAGAAATTAATTTACTGTTAATTCATAAACAATTATGATATCGATCTATCTATCTAGATGTATAAGACACACATCACCTTCTTGTGAGTATTTTGTGCAGAGTATGTTGTTGCAGGGTAAAGAATATGACTGGTGATGGGTATGGGTAAGGAAAGGATAGGAAATGGGAAAATTTTTGTTCCCTTGAAGTATATGGAGAAATAGGCAGGGTGAAACATGCATACAGGAGATATTTGTAAGGTCAAGTTAATAGTCAGAATAAGATTCTACTTTAAAATTTATCAATGAAAATTGATTTACACATTAGCGTTATACTCAGGGAAATAAAATGTGATGTAAATATATACACTCTGGTGCAAAATAATATATCCTTCTCTAGTAGAGCTTGGTAAATCCAGACACTTATATAAGATATATATCCATGTATAAGATATATCTCTTCAGTCAGTAAAGCTTGGTAAAGTCATATAAGATATATCATAGATGTGTGATATACCCATCTTTTATATCCATCTCTTGAAGAGCTTGGTAGAGCCAGACACCTATATAAGATATATCCATCTTCAGTAAAGCTTGGTAAAGTCAGACATAGATGTGTGATATACCCATCTCTTGAAGAGCTTGGTAGAGCCAGACACCTATATAAGATATATCCATCTTCAGTAAAGCTTGGTAAAGTCAGACATAGATGTGTGATATACCCATCTCTTGAAGAGCTTGGTAGAGCCAGACACCTATATAAGATATATCCATCTCTAGTAGAGCTTGGTAAAGTCAGACACCTATATAGGATAAATCCATCTTCAGTAAAGCTTGGTAAAGTCAGACATAGATGTGTGATATACCCATCTCTTGAAGAGCTTGGTAGAGCCAGACACCTGTATAAGATATATCCATCTCTTGAAGAGCTTGGTAGAGCCAGACACCTGTATAAGATATATCCATCTCTTGAAGAGCTTGGTAAAGCCAGACACCTATATAGGATAAATCCATCTTCAGTAAAGCTTGGTAAAGTGACAACCTGTAGAAGATATATCCATCTCAAGTGAAGCTGTGGAAAGATTTACACAACCATACTAAGGTTATATGATGTTTAAAGAACAAATTTAACACTAAGAACAAGTACCATGAGGTGTACCAAAAAAATAGTACACAGTGACAATGAATTTCATACTTCGCTGTACACGGTTAAAAAATGCTGCTTAAAAAGTATCAAGTTGATAGTAAATTCTCAAAAAACAATGTATTTGAGTTGATTCAGTTGTGCTTTGTTAGTCCGTTTGTTGGGTTTATTGCCCTTGTAACATCCAAAGGGACATTTGTGAACAGCCAGGGCCACTTCAAGGTGGGGTCAAACCATATGGACCTATCAATCCTTCAATCTGCTCTCTTTAAAGTTTTCTTAAACACAAATGTATTCTGATGTTCCAGATATGGAAAAAAGAAACAGAAGAAACGTCTCTTTTTCATACAGAATGTAAAAGCAAAATATACCAAAAACAGGTGGAAAAACATACACAAAAAATTTCAAATTTTTGTATACATAGCATATACTTCACTCTTCATTACCATCGAACTTTTATATGTATTTCAAGGTTAGTCTGAAATTATTATAAAAATTATTTATGTCAACTCTCAAGAAATTTACTTCAGTAAGGCGATTTATAATTTTTACACAACCTAATTATTAAATATGATAATCCTATGTCATCTATTCAGTACTACCTCTCATGTGATGTTGATTGATTTAAAGTTATATTTTATTTATTTTTTTTATTTAGAAATTGAAATTTTGTTATATCAAAAAGATGTGATAAAGATTTTAGACTGATTTTGCTGTTCTTAAGATGAAAAATTATCTCTAATAAATTGTCCATTTAATGAGTTCATGATACTTAGTTACTTTTGATTGAACGATCTTTGTTCATTAAAAAAAGAAAATCTTAAGAATTCTTTTGTTATGGTTTTTATGTTTTTAAAATATCTGCTTTTATAACATATGTATTGCATCTGCAAACAAGAGTATCAGTGAAACTGACGAATCCTCCCCAAAATTGATTTTATTGGACACAACATTTTAACAATGGATAATAATTCTGTAATTAAGGGGTTGCAGGCCCTAATATTGGTACACTACACATTGTATTTGTATAACCAATGTATACACCAAGTTTCATTATCATTGTTTAAATGCAAGCAATGTAGTGTTATACTCTAGATATGAAATTTTAGCAAAGGGCAATAACTCTCTTATTAAGGGGTTTAGTGCCCTGAATTTCATACAATGCACATTGTCTTAACATGATCAATGTATAACCTAAAGTTTCATTGTGCTAGCTTAAATGCAACCAAAGTTATGCTCCAGACACAGAATTTTAACAAAGGGCAGTTACTCTGTAATTTAGGGGTCAAGGGCACTAAATTTGGTACACTGCATATTGCTTTAGTATGACCATTTTATACGCCAAGCTCCATGATCCTTATTTAAATGTTGGCAAAGTTATGCTCCGGACACAAAAAGTTTTTACAAACGGTAATAACTCTTTTATTCAGGGGTCAGGGCCCTGAATTTGGTACACTGCACATTGTCTTAGTATCATCAATGAATTCAGCAAGTTTCATTATCCTTGTTTAAATGCAAGCAACTTGATGTGGTGTTATAGACACAAAATTTTAACAAAGGGCAATAACTCTCTAATCATGGGGTCTAGAGCTTTTTTGGAGCATAAAAAAATGTATTTAGATAATCTTTAAAATCAGATTAAGTGAACATTGTAGTTCACAATGTTGTCTTGTTTATTTTTTAAATATTTCTGATAAGGACATATTATACTTTATAGTCAGGTATTTGCTATATAGAGGTGTGTTTTACAGAAAGGTGTTTGTTACAGACAGGTGGTCTTTATAATCAGGTATTTGTTACATAGAGGTGTGCTTTACAGACAGGTATTTGTTATAGACAGGTGGACTTTATAGTCAGGTATTTGTTATATAGAGGTGTATTTTAAAGACAGGTATTTGTTATAGACAGATTGTCTTTATAGTCAGGTATTTGTTATATAGAGGTGTGCTTTACAGACAGGTATTTGTTATAGACAGGTGGTCTTTATAGTCAGGTATTTGTTATATAGAGATGTGTTTTACAGACAGGTATTTGTTATAGACAGGTGGTCTTTATAGTCAGGTATTTGTTATATAGAGGTGTGCTTTACCGACAGGTATTTGTTATAGACAGGTGGTCTTTATAGTCAGGTATTTGTAATATAGAGGTGTGCTTTACAGACAGGTATTTGTTATAGACAGGTGGTCTTTAATGCAAGTTTGACTATGTAATGCCTACTTTATTCATTTTGAAAGGAAAATGTGAATTGTGAATTGAAACTGTCAAAGAAGTGAAAATATGAAGTTTTCAAAAAATGTGATCTAACCTGTTTGATCGGTTAACAAGTCACAATGACAATAAACAAACTATATTTCACACCAGGTTCATATACACTTAAATGAATTATCTAGGGATGTGGATTAAATCTGTTTATTGAAGAAACATGCATGTACGTAAAACATGGAATAGGACAGATCTTAGACACCTCAGAACAAGTCACAGGACAGGATTAAATATGTTAAAACTTCTTTTTCTTCTTAATTTCTTATTACAGGTTTAAATAAGCAATTTGAAACCTTTTAAAGACATTTTTTTAATTATTATTTTCATTCAAATTTTTTCAGTAAGGTATGTCTTGCCCCATTCCATTAAATGCAAGGAATTAGTGTGGTTCATTAGGAAGCGTAAAAGGATCTTCAGGTAAATTGTCATTGGATTTTGTTTCAGTTGGTTGGTGATAGAGTAGAATGCGGCAGTCAAGATACGATACCCTCATTAGTTGTGTGTCTAGTTATGTTTGCCCATGTAAAGGATCATTACTTCTTGTAATATCCTCCTCGGCATGCATATTTAATGAGGTGGTTTCATCTGATTGGTCATCCCCATCCAGCCAATCACTGATCCAGATGATCAAAAGGAATTGGTGATATCGGGTTAGGGTGTTAAATTGACCCAAACCATTTCAAAGTTAAGCTTACATTAGGTAGGCTTAGATGAATTTCTACAAAGAAGAAACCATTTGAATGTGAACTGCTCTGAATAGTCAACATACTTAATCTAGAATCAAGTCTGTTTATATAAAAGTTGGCCGTTTCACCACATGCTGTATATGTCTACTCAATGTTAAAGTTAGTTACAGAGGATACTGTGTCCCATACCAGGGACGTCATAAAAATCCATCCACATTTGAGCTAGTATTGATAATGACAGATTTCAAAATTCAATAATTCTCTGATAACATTGATTAAACTAGAGTAGGGATTTTTTTAAAGGACTTTGCTGACAGTTAAATACTGAAATACAGGTGCCAAATGAAAAATGAAATACTGTGAAAAATGCAATGATTTTCACGAATAAACACAGAATTTATTGTGAATATATGCAATACTATTAACTACATGTCTCTTATGATTCTGAAGTTCTGTAAGCTTACTACTCTACATTCAAGTTCTACAATGGCAAAACAATGAAAATATGGATTTCTATCCGAAATGGAAATATTAAGCAAGAGAAGTCTGTGTGTAGTATAACATGTTTACTAATAGATAAGAAGCATTCCTTGGTAAATTCTGCTCAGAGCCAAGTAGCAAACATTTTAAATAGTCTTTCTTTGTTGTTGTACTTTTCTTGCTAATGATACATAGCTGGCTAGACTGATAGTGTCACTCATGCTATCCACAGCATGTTGAAACGGTAACTTCATCTAAACGAACATTAAGTTTACATGTTGTACTCAGGAAATGTGGCTTCTCAGCCGTGAAGGTGTCGCCATAGAACTTTAATGCAGGGTAATATGTGTGCAAAACTATGGAACCATAAGCGACATCTAGTCGCTAGTATTGTGTATATTCTCAATAAATATTGCAAACATACTGCATATATTCACAAATGTATTGCATATACTCGCAATCTTCTTTTTTTCTTAAGGTTTCATTGGGCACCAACGGCCTATATGTAGTAATTTTTTATCTTTGATGTTTTTTTGGGGGGGTTAGAGGGATGTTGGGGTGTTTTATTCTTTTTAATGTCTGTCAAGAGATAAATGATAACAGAAAAGGTTAAGCCTAACCTGCCCAAACCACTAACCCTCACCTTACAACTTACTCCTTCCGTAACCTGTCCCTCCCCTAAACCTCACCCTAGCTCTCCACCCATCCATTCCTTTAAACCTGCCTGCAAATAAAACTTTCACCCCACCCTCCACCCATCCACTCCCTAACCTGTCATCATCTATAACCTTCACAAAACT